GAAAAAAATATCTTTAGTACAAGTTTAAAAGACTAATACATGGTAGGCATTTAATAGCAGTAAGTATGACTTTGCTTTTGCCTCCTTCAACTAGATTATAAACTCCTTAAAGATAGAACTATGATAATATAACTATTTGCTTATGTAGGGTGTGACACACAGTAAGCATTGAATAATTGTTAGTTTATAATTTTAGTGAAGTGGTAATAAAATTCTCCAGAGTGACTATTTTATTCAACAAATGTCTTCTGGACACTTAAGATAACAGACCCTATGTTATTCTCTGTAGACAAAAAGATGAATAAGCAACTATTTGTCCTAGGGAAGCTTAAATTCAAGGAGAAAGACAAAAGAATCTTGATAACTTGAGATTGTTACTAAAAGTGAGCACAGTGAAAATACAGTAAGAGGAAAGATTACATCAGTCTTAGGGGCAAGTGGAGACCGGAGTCACATGAGCTGGGTCTTAATGAATGAGGAGGAGCCTGCCAGGCAGAGGAGGAGGCAGAGGGGTGTTTCCAGCAGAGGGAAAAATGCACAAAGGCAAGAAGGTGCATTATTTGGGGGAGTACTGAGTGTTCATGTGTGATTAAGATACAAAACATATATATGTGATAAAGTTGGAAAGGTAAGAAAAGGTCCTTGCGTGTCAGGCTAAGAAGTGGGGATGTATCATGTAAAATTAGGGAGTCTTGGAATTTTTTAAGAACTAGAGTCATGTGTCCACGTATGTGTTAAAATACTCCACTAATGGCAGTGTGGACGACAGATTAGAGTAGGAAGACTGGAAAAGTGGGAAAAGTTAAAACAAAACAAAATGATGTTCTTGAACAACTGAGGCCTAACTCAAAATGCTGTACTAGATATTATTTGGACTTTTCAATTCTGGAGTTTCTAGTCCATAATTTTCACATTCTCATGAGTAGTTGATTGTCGAGCAGGATATAAATAGTAAAATGTCTTGCTGAAACATGCATGGTTGTCCTTTGTTGAGTATTAGAGTAGCTTTAAATATAGATCCATCAGAGACACACAGGGAGAAGGCCACGTGAAGACAAAGGAGGAGATGGAATGATGTGTCTACAAGCTGAGCAACGCCAAGGACTGCAGGCATCCACTAGAAGTTAAGAGGCAAGGAAAGATCCTAGCCTAGAGCCTTTGAGAGAACTTTTCGGACTTCTGGCCTCCAGAACTTAAAACAATAAATTTCTCTTTTTTAAAAACAAAAAGGAAAAGAAAATATGTCCAACATCTTCCAAGGTGAGCGTGGTGCTTGAGTTCCCTTTCCTGAGCCAGTTACATCTACGTAGATGTGTGCACAGAGTCTAGCATTGATCAATTTAAACCCTAGCCAAATCCAATGGTAAGCTGGTCAGATGTGACCTCCAGACATTTGGAGTGTGGAGTCCCAAGGGTCAGAGCTGCAGGAAGGGGCTGCTTTACGGACTGTGGCCATAGATACAAGAAACAGTCCAGGGGAGATGTGACCAAATTCTGGTAGGCCAAGTTGTTTCTTTGAAGGAGCAAGGGTTTTCCACTATGCTCCTGGGAAACCAAGAAGTTCTGTTGGCCAACATGAGGTTGTGGGTGGGGGGTGACGGCAGTGACAGTGGCAGCCTAGAGAGAGCCTCCCGCTCCTGCTTCAACTCAAGCAGCTCCACATTCTTTTGTTTTCTATAAGAACCTTCACTGTAGGTTTCATTTGAATAAAGTGATCTAATTTGAAACCAATTTGAAACCAATTTGAAAACCACTGGACAAGGCATATGAGACAAATCCAGATGCATAGAGGAGATAGAACCCTAAACACGAACAAAAGGCAGAAGATTCAAGACTGTTAGTGGGAGTCCAAACCTGAATGAACTTCTTGAAACATCATGGCCTCAGATGCAAGTAAGAAGGAAGGTAAACAAGTATGTATGTTACTCAATTCCAGATGGGGCTTCCAGGAATTATCCAGTTCCTTTGGCATGTCATTCTTGGGATTTTCTAGACAGATGTTCTTCCAGCTCCAGGTCAATAAACACCAGGGTGAGGCAGTATCTAAGAACAACTAATTGGTCTCTGGACTTATTGAGAATAAGTACCATCTAGATTTATACTGTTTCAGAGAAGTTGTTGCTTTAAATGTGAAAAATTTTTAGGCCTCACTGAATTTTTTTGTTCCTTCCTTTCCTCCTTCCTTTCTTCATTCCTTCCTTCCTCCCTCCTCTCTTGCCTTTTTCCCTCCCTTCCTTTCAAATTTACTGAGTATTTACCATGGGCCAGGCACTGAGAATCTAAGGATGAATAAGATATGCCCAAATCCCCAAAGAGTTTACAGATTTGTGTGAGAGACAGGCAAGTAAATAGAGAACACAACCCAGTGCATGTTAGGATACAAGTGAGCATAGGACCCATAAGAGCAGAAAAGGACACCCTAGAGATGCCAGGGAAGCCTTCCTGGGAGAGGAAACCTTATGCTGAATTTTGGAGGATGGGTAGGAATAAGCTTAATGAGAAAGGTTGGAGTGGACGAGCATTCTGGGCTGATATGATCACATGGGGTCTTTGTGGTCCATGGGGAAACCATGCTCTTTGGAGGTAGCTAGACTTAGTTTCTAAATCTGAGTCCATCACTTACCATGAATGATTAAAAGTTATTCACCTCTCAGCACCTCTGTTTCTTCACCCGTAAAATGGAGGAAAAGAAGTATTTCAGTTGCAAGTGGTCTCATAAGCGGGAACTCAGGCATGATGTAAGCCGTGTGGTTGTAACTTTGTCCAGAAGGCAGAAAGGAGGTTTAACAGGATGTGACTACCTCTTCTTTGATTTGAAGAAGATTCCTTATCATTGTGTTTAAATACTTTTTTTGTAATCCTACATTCCCCTCCTTCTTTTTTAAGTGACATTGATAATACCTGCTGTTTAATTCTAAAAATAATGACATGGATTTTGCCTGAAGACTTAAAAAAAAAAAAAAATGAGGCTAGAGTGCTCCAACATTAATAGGATCTGTTAGAACTTTTACAGGTACTCTCTGATGACAAAAGATCATTCCATTATAAATACGTTTATTCCAGAAGCATATTTGGAAAAGAGGGCCTACCTGGGTCTCAAATCAATTTCATTTCTAATTTCCACCTTGTGAACATCTTATCTCAGTCCTTATGCACATCACAAAGATGTGTGGTCTTTATAATGTAGCAATATTGATATATACTAACAGAAAAGAATTGATACCAAATAAGAAAGAGTATATTATATTGCCTTAGATAAATCGTAGTGAACTCCTAGCTAGGATGATACATTTTTTCATTTATTAGGTTTATAGACAGCACCTTCCATCAGTCAGTTCATGACTACGGGACTATGAACTTGCTACGTTTACCCTTATGTGAAACACTAATGGAAGGGAAGGTGCAGATAAGAAACTCTAGGGAGGAAATGGAAGCATTCAGATGAAGCACATAGAGGTGGTAGAAAAGGGCCTGAGGGCAGGGAACAGTTCTGGGGCCTAGGGTTCTACAGAGACACGCAGAACAGCAGTGCCCTCCAAGAAGCTGATGGCAATCTGCTGAATCACCAGAGGACACACTGGAAGGAGAGAAATGCCTCTCAGCTCACTGACCAAGCAGCTGAAGAAGATGCTGGGGCACAAGGTGATTCATGAGCATCTGGCCCTGACCCCGCACTCTTCTCCATCTCACCCCAGTGCCTCATGGAAGACTAGAAGTTAGCCATTAGAGATGTCAGACTTATTTTGAAAAGTCGTGGATTGAGTTTTCTCCTATGAGTTATGTGAAAATGAGTTAGTGAGCGGTTTCAGGATATCATGTTGGGGTACTTTGGGAGGCATTGATTGCATCAAAACTCCTAAGAAGGTGAGATCAATATTTGTGTGGCTCTAGAAGAACTAGTTGAAGTGTTTTAGACATAAACTGGAATGTTGGGGAAGCTTCAAAATACTTTAACAGACAGAGTTCCTGTTGAGATTATTGACATCTAAGATGGATGGTTGCGAGGCAGGTGTTAGTAAAGATGTATAAAATAGAAGTGGTTTCTAAAATGGACGGATACATACAGAATATGTATATGGAATGTATGTGTATATGAATTACCCAAACAGTGGGATGGTAAAAGGGTCCAAATGCCCTCAAGGAATGTGGTACTTACCACCATGCCTGACACATAATTATCACACACTGATTTAATTTATTGGGTTGAATTAAGTATTAAAACACCCAGATTCTTAGAATTAGAAGAAGGCTGGAAGAGCATGCCTCCCAAAAGCCCACTAATGCACGAGATGGGTCTTTTCCTACCACAGGCAGCGCAGGGTCCCCTTGCCCCATGTCTGCATATCCACACCACCACCCCTGCCCAACTCCTCTCAGCACCAAATGCTACTGCTAGGGAGATATTCATTCTGTAAGTGAGAAAATAACCAAAACAATAATATTTGGAAATCTGCAATGGTCAGAACCAAAAGGAGAGAATTAATCAGGAGAACCAAGATTAGCTGGAGAGAGCTTCTTCTATTGGGGAATGGCCTTATAGCCCCAAACTATTTTCTCCTATCCTGCCTTAGATTATTTTATAATCTTATTTTACGTTATGTATTCTGAAATCTCATGAAGGCAATTAGGAAGAAAGGGAGTTATAGGAAGTGTAGAAATTGAAGAAATTGTAAAAGGACTTAATTCTGTCTTATATTTTCACAATCCAAGTACAAAACAAACTTGTGGTTGTTTTATTATCCAAGCTGGTATTTTTGTTTCTGATAACACACACACACACACACACACACACTAATTTTGCAGCTATACTCAGGATTTTCTATATAGACCCAGATGCTATAGAAACAGCATCTGTAATATCTTTTAAAAATTTGAATGATGAAAGGATTGAGACATGAGTCCCTAGAAAACAGTAATGCTCAATTAAAAGACAACAGATCATATTTTTGCATTTTTGGGGTCCTATTTTTAATTCTAATTTCTAATATTTTTCTTTCAAGGAAGCTTACAAGTTCGTTATCAGCTGAGCAAGGAAGAAATCCATGTATTTATGATTGATGTAGAGAACTTTGCCAACAGAAGGCTGCACCACTTGAAGATTAGCCGAGAGGGAAGAGAACTTACCATTCAGGTACCTTACTTCCCTTCTACTCGTTCAGTCAAATGTGCCTTGGCTGCTCAATAAAACTTTTCTGAGCTTCCACCATGAACCAAGTGTGGAGTCAAATTCTGGAGATTGATATGAACCACACTTGGCTCCAGCCTTTGAAGAACTAGAATAGTGGTTCTCGGTGTGTGCTCCCCGTTCCCACTAGCATCACCATCACCTGCAACCTTATTAGAAATGCAAATTCTAGGGCCCCACATCAGATCTACTTAATCAGAAACTTTTCTGTGGGGAAGTTAGCAGGTGATTCTGATGCCTGCTCAGTTGGATAACCCCTGAACTGCAGTATAATGAGGAAGACACACAGGAGAAGAAGACATCACGAGGGACTGTCAAAGGCTAAGGTAGAAGCATGCACAGGTGATATGGGAGCATGGAGGGCACTGATCTCATCTGGGCATCAGTACCTACTTTCCAGAGGAAGTTAGGAGGAAACTGAATCTTGAAGGTGGATAGGAGTTGGCTAGGTGAAGAAGAGAGAGGAAAGTGCTCAGGCAGAGAGTCCAAGTGAACATCAGCAAAGCTGTCTGAAAGAGCATAGCGTGTGGCAGGCACTCCATGAAATTCCAGCAGTCTTGGTATAAAGAGCAGGCAATGGCAGATCACAATGGAGAAGTGACAGAGTTCGGATCATGCCTTTTAGAATTGTGACCTCAAGTGAGCCCTTAAATCTTCCCAGCAATCACCTCTTATTTTTTTTAATTCATCCACTCTCTTGATCTCTTAGATGACAATTTTAAACTTCCTCCTCCCTCCTTATACCACCACCAACTGTAACCCCATCTTCGGTCTTGGCAGATGACTTTGGTTTCTTTTTTCTTGTGAAAAATATAGCATTCGTAAGAGAATATCCACACACTCTCACCACCACATTTACACCTACCTGCATCTGTGTCTGTGCACTCTCTCTCCCTCCTGTTGCTGAATATGAACAATTAATGATTCTAGTTCAGGCTAAACCCACCACTTGTGGACCAGGTCTCATACCCTACTCAAGAACATCATTCCAGCCTTATCATCTTCCCTCCCCTTTCAACATTTTCCCAGCTCTATTAGATGGCTCCCCAAAGCATAAAACATGCAAATATTACAAGCATTAAAAAAATAAAAATAAAAAACTCTCTGGGTTAGGGAAGAAGACCTCTCTCTTATCTGACTTCGTGTACTACTCCATTTTCTCTTTCAATTTACTGCCCCAGTCCTTGGAAATGTTGTTTATAAACTTGGTCTCCAAATTTTTCCTTCCATTTTCTTAAACCCACATGAATGAAGGTTTGTCCCTGTGCTGCAGCAAAATTATACTTCTCAAGACACTAACGGCCTTATCTTGCAGACTCCAATAGGTTTTTCCTTATTTGTCTTCTCATTGTCATTTGACACAGTGGTTGCCCTCTGCTTTTGAAATATATGCTTATTTGGCTTGCAGGACACAACATTCGCCTGTTGTTCCTTCTGCATCTGTTGGTTGCTCGTTCTTGTCTCTTTTGTTGGTCCCCCCTCATCTTCCAAACTCTAACCATTGGAACATCCCAGAACTCCATCTTCAGATTCCTTCTCTTTTGTATCTACACTCATCCCATGGCTAATCTCATTCACTCTCACACCTTTAAATGCCATGTATATGCTGGTGAATCAATCCAAAATGTATATCCAAATCTAGTCCTTTCCCTGAATTCCAGACCTATATATCAACTGCTTACTCGACGTGTCTACAGTGCCATCTTGGATACCTATTAGGCATCTTGAATATAACATATTTAACCCTGAGTTACTGAGAATCTTCCCCCTAACACCCTCCCCCTCGATAAACTTCCATCTCTCAGTTAATGGCAGCTGCATTCTTACCGTTTCTCAATCTTAGAATTGTGGTGTTATCTCTGATAATTCTCTTTCTCTCACAAGAAACATTCTGATGATCAACAGATTCTACTCTGTCCCAAGCCAAGCTCATCCTTTCCTTGGATTATTTCAGTTTACAGTTGCCTCTTAACTGACATCTCCCCGCTTCTCTTTTTGTTTCGCTCTGACTTATTCTCAACACAGCGGCCAGAGTGATCCTGTTAAAACATTAGTCAGATCATAGTACTCTTCTGTCCAAACCCCATCAATGATTTCCTTTCGCATATGCACTAAAAGCCAAAGACCTTGCAGTGGCTTAAGAGGATCTCCATGATCCGACACCCTCTGCTTCTTTCCTGCTGTTACTTCTCTGATCTCATCTATTATTATTCCCTCTATAACTCCACTCATGCCACTCTGGCCTCCTTGCTATTTCCAGAGCCCTTGAACACACTTGACTTTGCTTTGCCTAGAATGCTATTGTCCATTTATCCGCATTCCTAGTTGAACTTGTACTTCCTTCAGAACTTCACTCAAAAAGTTATTTTCAATGAGGCCATCACTTTTTTAATACAGCAGCGTAGCTCCTTGACTTCACCCCTACAGCACTTAAACACTATCTAACGTTTGATACAATTTATTTATTTATCTAATTTGTTGTCTTGTCACCCTCCTCTAGAATGTAAGCTTCATGAGGTCAGGGATTTTTGTCTGTTTTCATTACTGTGGAACCCCCTACTTTGTCAAGCAGTGCCTAACATACAGCAGGTACTCAATAAATACTTGTGAATTAAATGAATTAATTCCACAGTGCTTAATGTACTATGTGGAGAAGATTAAATTGGCTTTGTGGACAGGTGAAGCGAAACCTTTGAATTTTAGGCAGGGGAAGTAGCATGGGTAGATTTTCATTTTCAGGGGCTCATTGTGACCACTGCATGGAAATACACGTTTGGGAGTGATGAGACAGAGACCAGTCAGGAAGAGATGGTGAGAGCCTCATCTAGGGCAGTGGGGGAGCCATGGAGAGGAGGATTTGAGAAATGTCATAGAAGTAACGTCAATAGTATTGGGTGACCTTTTAGACATGAGCTATGAGAGAAGTCAAGATTGAATATTAATTTTCTTGTTTGGGTGAAAGTTCAGAAATAATTGTCAAATACATGATACAACTAACAATCAATGAGAGATTATAATTTAATAGGCTTATCTCTAAAATTTACTCTTGAAATAAGGGAGGAAAATCTTTGCAGTGAGTTTGGGTTGGAGCCAGACTGGAGGATGAAAGGGATGGGAATGATGACTTTTCATTTGAAAATGTTTTGCCTGGGGTACCAGTGGGATATCTGGGGTGCATTCTGCTGTGCATTTTTATGTATGACTCATTTTTCCTCCTTCTTTATATTTCCTGTCTTCTTTTTCACAAATGAAAGACACAAACAGGGCAGTGAGAGAACAATAAGAGGTATTTCCTTCTCTTCTCCCACTAAAGGATTTCCACCAATCAATTAATAGTCACCGATAAGCATCTATTGGTTGAGAACATACTATTTCCAAAGCACTGAAGGGAGCAGAAAGACATGGAGGCAGAGACTTTGTTTTTTAACTTTAAATCAGTTTATTGACACAGTAACACAACACACTTGCCTCTCTGACACTCCCACCCCCTTGCCCTCTCTAGATCTCTTCTCCTTCCGCCCTGCTTTGAACAAGCTGTTCAGTGAAAATGGAAAAGAATAGGCTCCTACTATATGCCCAGCCCCACCCCAAAGCCCTATGGAGCATGGTCTTAGGTATCACCCAGAACCTGTTAGAGAGAGAGAGCAGGCAGTTATCACTATGCTCAGCCCGCCAGAGGCATTGAGTACCAGTGACAGATCCCCACAACCCCCAGGCCTTGAGTTGCTATTTCTCCTTCTCTCTGTTCTTTGTGACCCTGGGAAGGAGACCTTGGGACCTAGGCCTGCAGCCAGGAGCAAGAACTCCTGGTGATGATTTGAGAACTATAATTTGGCTAGTATTTTTTTTTTTTGCTGAGAAAGATTCACCCTGAGCTAACCATTTGTGCCACTCTTCCTCTATTTTGTATGTGGGTCGCCACCACAGCATGGCTGACAAGTGGTGTAGGTCTGCACCTGGGTTTCAAACCCATGAACCTGGGCCACTGAAGCAGAGTATCCTGAACTAAACCACTATGCCATGGGGCTGGCCCCTGGCTAGTATTTTTTAAGGATTAGGTGTCCCCAGAAATGCCTTGGTGGTGGAGGTGAACTTCAGTGCCCCTATTTAAAATGCATTAATGACATTAAACACACTAAGCCAGTTTGCCCAAATGCCAGCACAATCAGCTGTAAAGGAGGAGAAGCCAGACATTTTTTAAACCAAGTAGTTAATTACTTCCTTTGAGAGATGAAGATCCCGAGGCCAAGAGAGGCGTCCCTAGGGCAAGTCAGACTTGGGTGAAATCCCTGCTCCATCACTTAAGCTATGTGATCTGAGACCAGTTACTCACCTTCCTGAGCTCAGTCTACTTATCTATAAAAGTGGGGGTGGTGAAAGCAACTAAGCTCAGTCAGTTCTTGTAAAGGTTATGAAAGAGCATAGCTGAAGGGCCAAGCAGGAAGCCTGGCATATGGGCTTACTCAAAAAAGTTTTCTTCTATTTTCCTCCCTTTTCCATCTCATTTAATGACTAGACAAGACCACTGAGTATCCTAAATTCTGAGATCAACACAGATTCTTGAGACCAGATTACAAACTTTAGACATCCAGAAGGTTTAAAGGACTATGGTGCTTCACCCCTGATACCTCACCAATTATAACTAAAAATAAAAACAATACTAAAACAAGCATATGGAAGTCTAACAAAATAACGTATTTCCCACTGAATACTTGAATGATTGCCTAGCACATATCACAAATATTGAAGTCATAAAAGTTAATATTTGTGATACTCCACCCCCACTTTTGTTTTTTTTTTTTTGCTTTTCCTCTATGCATTTGCAAAGTTTTGCCAATTAGTAACCCAGCACCTGAACCAGTACTAGTGCTCAGGTGCCCTCCCTCCATGTCAGGGCTGGAACCCAACCCTCAACTTTCCATAGTCCACCAATAGCCTCAAGTCTCCTTTAAATCATCCTACCTTCCTCTCCAAACTTTTACAAATACTCATTTAAAAAATAAAAATCTTTAATTAAATGTCCTTTACCTCCTTCTGTCCTTCATTAGTCATCTAGTTAAAGTTCTAAGGAGCAGGTCAGTTCCCACAAAGCAGACAGTAGGGCAGGTCTGACTTGTGTACTTGAACACTTAGTTCTTCCGTGTGTGACATTTGAGCGTGGGCCTGTCACGGCTCAGGGGATCACCTGCTTAGGAAGCTGACCCTATGGAGCCTGGGGAGGAGGTGGGGGCAGAAGCTAGGGCAATTTCAGCTTAACCTTCAGTTCTAAGAATCCTTCCACTGCTCTACACTAAGCAGGAAATTCCACTCACTTTAGCCTGCTCTCCAACTGGGGCAACAAACATGTGGGGAGGCACTCTGCCCGCTGCTAGAGGAACAGTTCCAGAGAGTAGAAGAGGCAGGTGAGAGCTCTGAGGTAGGGCAGGAGGAAAACTCCTTCAGGGTGAGGACTGAATCTGAACCCATGAGCATTAAACAAAGTGTGGATAGAATGGGGACCATGGGAATCAAAAACCCTATGTTGTCCCTAGAGGTGTGGGGGCCACCAGGGCAACCAGAGGCATTCTGGTGGTGTGATGGACTCTGTCTTCATAGCCAACCAAGTAGAAAGGGAATCAGTACAGGGTGTTTATTTATTCACTCAGCAAACCTGTGTTAGGAGTACTTGGCCAGTTTCTGTAGTAGGCCCTTCAGAAAACACATATTGATAAGATGTGGTCCCTATTCTCAAAAAGCCAATAGTTTAGTGGGGAAAAAAAAGAGAGAGAGAGAGAAATTAAAGCAGATCATTATAATACAGCATTTGAGATGCAAGGTTAGAAGTAGAAAAAAGGTGCCATGAGAGCAGAGAGGGTGGTCAACAGATCTAACCAAAGCATCAAGGAAAGCTTCCTGGAGGCAGTGGACTCTGGGAGCACTTAGAACAGTGTCTGGCACACAGTAGATGCTCAAATGTTTGTTGAATGAATTTTGCAGAAATTCAGAAATAAAAACACACTGAGATTGTCTACAATTTGCTCAAATATCTAGAGAGGTATGGACAAGTAAAGCAAACACCGTACTGCATGGTGGATGGGCTACATGATAATGGGACACTGCTTTGTGACACTGTGTGGCCTTGGCCAAGTTGTTGATCTCTGTGACATCAGCTCCCAGGTCTGTAACACAGGGATAGTAATGCCTATTTTGTAGCATTCTGGGGAGGAGTACATTTTGAAAGATGCTCTAGTATGGTGTCTCATATATACCAAGTGTTCAATAAATAATAAATATTATTACAGTCTAATTTCATAAATGAAAAAGGAATAAAGCATATGATCACATACCACAAGTCATAGCCAGTGACTTCTCTCACAGCAGAAACCCCGGCAGGACCAAGAGGTTCTTGGAGGAGGGTCAGTCTGAGCGGAAGGAAAGTCGTGGCAGTGGGAGCTGGGAGAACTGGGTGTTAGTCCGGGATCTGCTGCTCCCCGAGGGGAGCCAGGGTCAGGCACACAGCTGCAGGAGTCTGTCTCCTCTTCTTACAGGTGAACTAGAAGATAATGAGGATCTTTTTCAGAGATAACACCATAGGAATATTCAGAGTAGAGCCTGGAAGAAACTGGTAGCATTTGACTAGGCTGAAAAAAGTGGGGATGGATGGGGAATACTGCCTTGGAATGGGGAGGAGGGGAACAAAGAGATGGAACTGGAATTAGCAATGGATGAGGCAAGGAAGGTTTCCTAAAGGAAGATTCTAGAAATAAAGTCCTAAAGAATCACAGTGGTAGCTTTTGCTCACCCCTAAGAGGTAGGATTATCAGCTGTTCATGTTGATGCCAACTGTTCACTTAGTTGCTGAACTCTGACCCTCTCCTCCCCAGGGTCAAACTTTGTGTCCAATTGAAATATTTGCTCAGGAAAATCCCACAGTGTCCACACCTGAATGAGACCAGGTCAGAATTATTGGAGCAAAGGGAACAGTGATGGCTCTAAGGATAAAGTGGGGAGAAGGAGGAGAAATGGGGAACAAGTGCCAACTTTCCGTTTAATCCTGCACAACATGAGTCTGAGAAGGCTTCATTTGTTTGCTTGTTTGCAGCAAAGAATTTGGTGACAAAATCTCAGTAGGGACATAAATACCTATCAAAAGCTGTACAGAGTTTCCCAGGGAGAAGACTTGTGTGAAAGCCTTTATTTCACCAAGAGGGAAAAAAAGGGGTATTTTATCGGCATTGTGGGAGAATTAGCGAGACATTTCTTATCTCTCTGGAGAGAAAATCCCAGAGACGGGTCTGCTCTGTGTGTTCTCTGGCTGTTTCCTGGTGGGAGCGCTTCATGCCCTTTACTGCAGAACTCTGCTGAGGCAGCTTTGTTTTCTGTTTTCCTGCAGATGGATCAGCAACTCCAACTCAGTTACAACTTCTCCCCAGAAGTCGAGTTCAGGGCGATAAGGTCACTCACCTTGGGCAAAGTCACAGGTTTGTTGTTCTAGTCCGTACCTATGCAATGGGCTCTGTTAAATTAAATGAATAATTAATTTTCATCAGGGTGTTCAGTAATTCAAATCTGGAGTCCTTTGCTCCCATAATATCCAAGATCTAGAACCAAGATTTCTGGTGTAGGAGACGCTAAAGTGTATGTGTGGCGGAGTTGGAAACTGGCATTTATATCTACATTATAGAAGCTTGAGTAAGGTAAATTAACAAAGAAATTAAGTAAAGTAATTTTTTACTAAACTTCTAATTAATTAATTTAAAAGGTTTACTTAATTTTTCCCTTAAATTTACTTAATTTTTACTTAAAAACATTAAAAATTTGAAAAACTTAATTATTGGATTGCTCAAATCTTTAATTCCTTTACTAATTCGTCAACAATTGAAAGAGGATTAAAATCTCCTACTATAATAATATATTTTCTTTTTTTTTCTGCCAGAAGTGCTGTGGATTTTATATGATGAAGGTATTTATTAGGGCCAGGCAAGATTGAATTTTTTACATCTTCTTGATGAATTGAACTTTTATTTTTTACTAAAGTGATTTTTTTAACTTTAACGTCTCTGTGCTCAAAACTATTTTGTCTGTTATTAATATAGCTAATTCAGTATTGTTATAGTTATTATCGGTTTGCTCTATCTTTCTGTATATTTTTCTTTTTAATATTTCTTTTTCATTAAGACTTGTATATGATCTTGTGAAAAGCATACAGCTGAATTTTGTGCTTTATCCAATCTGGCCGTCTCTATTTTATAAATTGGCGAATGTAAGCCCGTTTACATTTTTGGGTTACTTGTATCGTTGGATTTGTTTCTGCCTCCTTATTTTCTATCTGTTCAACTTTTCCTGTGACTCTATCTTCTTCTTTCTTCCTCTCTCAGTCCCAGTACAGTGCAGAAAACAATAACTGGAGGCATTTCCAGCAGGGATAGATTTAACACAGAAAATACTATTGTGGCAGCACTTAGGGTGTGGATTCTTGTTAGAATCTTGCAGAATGACTCCCCAAGCAGTTCTGTTTTTTTTTTTAATTTTATTTATTTATTTTTTTCCCCCAAAGCGCCAGTAGATAGTTGTATGTCATGGCTGCACATCCTTCTAGTTGCTGTATGTGGGACGCGGCCTCAGCATGGCCGGAGAAGCGGTGCGTCGGTGCGCACCTGGGATCCAAACCCGGGCTGCCAGCAGCGGAGCGCGCACACTTAACCGCTAAGCCACGGGGCCGGCCCCCCAAGCAGTTCTGAGCTGACTAACAGAGAGCGCTTACCTCTGAGGCCATCACTAATGCTAGGCTGGAGCCCGGAGATCACTGTGGCTCCAGTACTACATGTCAATTCCCGAGAGGCAGAGGGTGTCTCCAAAATGGCAACAGAGAACATTTCATGTTACCATGACTTTGCTTGCCAGTAGAAACAGCTGAAAGGCAGGAAAATGACTCCTGTCTCACTGCAGGCTTCCAGATTCGTATCTAATTTCTAAAGTACCTAACTTCTAGAACATAATGTGCATCCAGAAACCTAGCCACAGTCAGGTCCGGAAAATGTCAATTTTAGTTTCCAAAATGGCATTTGAATGGCCAATCTACAGTGACCAACTTCTAGATTTAATTTTATGTTGTTTATTTCTTATAGATTTAATTTTATGTTTATTTCTTATTCCATTCCCCCTTCCTGTTAATAATAATTGTTTTATGCAGTCACTGCTATTTTTGATTTACCAATGCAGTGTCTAATTAATTATTTCACATTCCTCCCTATATTTCAGTATTTTTTACTTTCTACCAGGTTTAATTTCCTTCTTTTGAATTTCTTCTGTGTAAGGGGCCATTTATCTGAAAAAGCTCTTTATTTCACTTTATTCTTGGAAGATAATTTTGCTAGGCATGATTCAATATTGAAGGAAATTTTCCTCAGATCTTAAAAGAATTATTCAGGTGTGTGACGGAGCCAGCTCACCTGGATCCTAAGAACCTGTTGTACACATCTCTGCCCAATTCTGCATTCAGTCGTCTCACAATAGTAGTTTGAAATCAGCCATACTAGGAGTATTTACTCTATGGAAATCAGAAATGCTACAAGTCAAGGGCTCCCCTGCTGCTGGAGAGCCAGTTTTGAACCCTCACCAGCACATGACTGGGCTCTTCTCTTCTGTCTTCTGCTGTTGCTGTTGAAAAGCTGGCTGTCAATCAGTCCTCCCTTTGAAAATGCTCTGACCACACCCACACTCCACCCTCACAAGCTACTTGTAAGGTCATCTCTTTTAATTTGGTGTTTTGCATTTTGTTACCATATGTCTGCTTGTAGATTTCTTTTTAAGTGTCCTATTTGATATTTTTGTTTCCTATATCTATTCATTAGTTCCTGTGTATCTAGTTCATATGTATCATTCACATGTATCTGTTCATTAGTTCTCTAAAATTCTCAGCATATCAAATAATGCTTCTTTCTTATTCTCTCTACACAATTATTTTAGATCTGCTCTAAATAAATCTTAGACTTTCTAACTCTATCCTCATGTCTCTTACCATTTTTTATAATAAATTTTATTGTTTGTCTCACTATGTTGCATTCTGGGCAATTTATTGAGTTTTATCTTCAAATTCACTAATTCTCTCTTCATCTATGCCAACTATCCCATTAAACCCATTCAATGAGTCATTTTTCATTGATTATATTTTTTTATTTCTAAAAGTAATATTTTGTTCTTTTTCAAACATGCCTGTTAATTAAGATAGTCTGTTGTTCCCACTTAGTTTTTTGTTCTTATCTTTTTATGTCTTAAAGCGTTCCATTAATAGTTATTGAACATTTTGTTTCTGATAATCCCAATGTTGGAAGTCTGTAAGGGTCTAAATCTGTTATTTTCTGTTTTCTAACTCTTTCCTGTCAGCTTGTTCTCTTATGCTGTGTGTGTCTGTGGGCTCATATTTGGTTGAAATTAATGTATAGGAAACTTGATGATCAGAAATTGTGAAGCTTTCTTCCAGGCAAGATTTGTGTTACTTCTGCCAGGTGCCAGGAGGTGCTACCAATTTAGGACTATTTCAGTTTCTCACTTTGGGTTTTTTCTGAACAGAGATTGAATACGAATTTGAGCTCCAGGCCTGAATGAGAGCAAGCCTCTGGTTGAAGTCTCAGCGAAAATGTTGTTACTATTAATATCATAATATGTCATTTTATTATTATTTTTGTTACATTTTTTTTTTTCTAATTCAGAACCACATCAGAGGTTGACAGGTTTTATGTTTATTCTCTTTGCTGTTAGGTGATTTTTTTTCTAGTCCACCTTTCACTGAAGCTTAATGTGAGAGTCTCAGGTTCAACATTTTAACTTGGCAGAGGCTGAAGTCTTGGATTTCTACTCTTCCAGATGGTTCAGGCATTTTCCCTTGATACAACCCTAATGTTGGTTTATTGCTCACTGTCTTGGTTTCATGCTCTCTCCCAAAATAATCCCCCCAAAATTTAGGATTCCTCTTTGTTTCCTGAATCTTGGCAACACACTAAAAAGATGTTTGTTGGTCTTAATGAAGCAGAATTACTTTTTAGAGTATCTAATCTATTATATGTCCTCTGCTACTTCAGTATATCTTGAGTCGTTTAATCACTACTTCAACAAAATCAGAAGAATCTTGGGAGGAGAGATAGTTAGGGCTGTATGACCACAATGCCCAGGCTTTTTTCATGGCACCTGCCTTGTGCAATGGAAGCTCTAGAAACATCCTCTTGTTTAAAAAACTTCCCTCCATTAATCTTGCCACTGTGTATGGCATTCCTGTGGTCTTTCTGTCTTTTGAATTAAACCCATAATACATCAGACTGAAAGGATAAAACTTTAAATCAAGGTACTAAATTATTGAGGGATACCTTGTCGTTTTGTCTTGGCTTCTTTGTGAGGAAAGATAGGAAAGAACTTGGTTAAGATTGAGAAAGAGTACCCAATAAAATGATTTCATTGTGCTAAGGGTGGGGGACTCCTGCCTACTGGCCTTCCTTCCCATCCAAACTGCTGTTAAACAGTCAGGAGGATTTGGAATCACAATTAACTTCAACACTTTTGGCCTGTGAAAGGTCTCTAGCTAGAGGTAAGGAAAGATGATATAAACATCAGATTGATTATTAAGGAGGGATTAATGCTGGGGACCCTTTGGAATTAATCCTCATGCATCAGAAAGAATGTGGAGTAGGGATAGGGGATACAGGAAAGAATGGTGCAGAAATGGATAAGAAATGGACAAATGCAACCCTACTCCACAATTTTAGAGAAGTCTAGTACTCTGTTGGGCATTTTCAACTCTAAAGTGAGGATTTGTAAGTGTTTTTCATAGTAGATACCAAAGGCAAACAAGTGTAGGTGTTGTCCCAGTTTTCTTCAATACCACTAATAGCATTCCATTGCAAAGCAAGAACAAGTTTATTCATTTTCTTTCTGTAAGAGAAAGAGTCAATTCATCATTCTAAAGATAGTGATTTAGTACCAATGATGGTGCTACATGGTATGTGTTACATACATACCATGATGAATAAAATAGTCTCTTTCCTGAGAATTCCTATGATGTAGAGACTAGTCCGTGAAAGTAGCAGATACAATCACTGACATTAAAATTGCATTGTGGGTGCTCACTATGGTAAGTAGTGAGATATTGCTAGTTTTATTCCTTGGTTTACTGATATTCCTTGACTTTTAAGGGAAATTTCTTAGTTCTGGTGTATTGCATCAATGGATTTAAGAGAAACTAACATTAAAAGGAAAAGAGAGAGAGCTGGGTCCCGTGGCTGAGTGGTTAAAGTTCCAAGTGCTCCACTTCGGTGGCCTGGGTTCACGGGTTCAGATCCCAGGTGCAGACCTACTCCACTCACCAGCCATACTGTGGTGGTGTCCCATATACAAAATAATAGAGGAAGATTGGCACAGATGTTGGCTCAGCGCTAATCTTCCTCAAGCAAAAAAAAAACGAGGAGAGTTAGCAGGGGATATTAGTTTG